AAAGCTATTAGAGTGGTACCAATCTTCTCATCCAACTCTCAGCAGGAAAGTGATCAAGCGTGTTTCCGACTAACGGGCTTTGCATTGCATTTACACTACTGCTAACCATTACAAAAATTGGTCAAAAAAAGGTGCCACTTTTTTCAGGTAAAATGTATTTTTAGATCTCTGTCTTCCTGTCTGTCGGCCCTCCCCCTCCTCCAGGCCTCCGTGTTACAGAACCTGCGGTTGGCGATGCGCAGACAGATCAGACGCCACTCGACGCGACGCTCCACCTCCTCCTCCTCTCGTCGGCGTCTTGGGCATCTGTGGAGTCGCCTGTTGCACAGTGTAGGGCGAACCAGAGGCCACGCCCCCTTGCTCGAACCCCCTGGGCCCACGCAGATCACACTGGGGCTCCACAGCTATCGAACTGTGGGTGTGCAGGGGCCCCGGGCAAGGGACAGGTCCGGGGCTGGGCTCTGGGATGAGGGTGATGCAGTGGGTATGCCCGGCTCCTGCTGCTCAGCCACTGTGGACCTGCAGCCCTGCACGCCGGAGAGCCCTGCGTCACCTCTCTCCTTGCAGTCAGTGGATAGTCCAGAGGAGGAGGAACTGTCACCTGTCTGCAGGGAAAGCAGTAGGGCTCCACAGTCTGAGCCCCCCACCCCTGTTCAGAGTGACTCTTCAGCACATAGCGGATCCCCTCCCACTCCTCAGGAAGCCTCTGTGCTCCCGTGCCACTCTCGAGCATCTAGGAAACTAGTGCTGGAGCTCGCTGTTAACCTAAAGGGTGTTTCTTTGAGACGTTACTCCCCCATGGGACCCTTATCCCCTATCTCACCCACTGTGTTTCCCAGCAGCTCCCAGACATCCACAGCCTACCCTCACTCCCAGGGGATGCAGGTGACGTCACCTTCTGAGCCCTCGTCTTCGTCTGGGAAAGGAGGGGGCAGCGACAGCCACTTTACTGTGGAAATGCCAAGCAGGGAAATAAGAAGCAGGGATGAGAGGAGGAGGGAGGGCAAGAGCAGACTCTACAGGTTGAGCCGGACCTTCAGTGATGAGGGAGGAGATTCAGGGAGGGAGACCACGCCATGCTGAGGAGTTTAGAAATATACTCTCCTTCCCCTCATTGTTGAGACCTGGTGTCAGCAATATCTGCTCTGCTAAAGTGTCCTTGAAATGTGTTGCCACCAGATCCAGAGGTGAGACCTGTACCTGGTGCAGTAAGATATAATTAGCTCATGTCCATTCAACACTATGATTGCATACAAATCTGCAAATGCACAAAATTATGCATACGTAGTCCTCTCCTTAGATTAATAGAACCAGCATTGGAAGTGCTTATTGTCTGTGTACAGTAAATCTCTTTGCCAAACTGGAGCTTAATGCTGACTCCCACAGTTAAATGCAAACAAACATCCCTGTTCAACCTGTTTGGACATAAGCCCACCATGAGTCTGTTCCAGGAAATCACACTCCGTTCTGGCCACCAGTACCAACACAATATTGGCAACATTCTTACAACGCCAAAGCAGCCTTTGTGTCGCTACCCAGAGCCGTTATGCACCGCTATTTACTGTGAACCATGAAAGCCTAATAAGTGATCACATATGACTTTATCTGATTAATGATCCTCTACTTTTACTTAGTCCCACTTTATTGAATGAGGTGGTGTTATTATTAGTGTAGGACATTTTCACATGGTCATGGTTGGCCGTTGCATTGAAGGTTAAAGCTGGATATTTTATATTTTTGTTATTGTCAACAAATCACATGAAAAGGGAATCTCTCGAGACTTTGCCAGCCAGGCTAAATAATTACCTAAAACATTTTTCAAGAAACATTATTCAAACTGGAGGTAGCAGTGCGTTTGTTGGAGACATATTTCAGATACCAGGTTACACAGACAACACTTGTTAGTAGGATTAATCCATTGTTGGTTTTGGTATTTTCATAGGATTTGTTGACAATAACAAACATATCCAATATCACCAGATCTACCTTTTTTATTACCACTTTGAACCACAAAAGGTTGAGATTTTCAGAGATACCCTTATGTGCTTTGTGGCAGAGAATCAGGTGAGACGATTGATACCGCTCGCATGTTTTTCCATATATAATATAAAATTGGAGTAAGCAGCCGCTTAGTTTAGCTTCACATAAAGACTGGAAAGAGGGTGAAAAAGCTAGCCTGGCTATGTCTGAAGGTAGCTTGTGAGCTTCAAAGGTGCGAGTTGGCAGATTTTGTTACCTTCAAACACAGCCAGGCCAGCTGTTTCCCCCTGTCTTCAGTCTTTGTGCTAAGCTATGCTAACTGGCTGCTGGCTGCACTCACCTCTTAGCCAAAAGGCAAAAAAGGGCATTCCCAAAAATGTCAGTCTTCCTGTAACACTTGTGAGGTGTCACTGAATGATTCAGTGGTTCAATCATACCAAACCTTTCAGTATTTATTCATCATAAACAGTACTTTTCCAGTGCTACTCTTTGCTAGTGATACTTTAGTGACTCCTTTTACAAGACATCAAGCACTTTCTCGTTATGTTTTGGAAGTTGCATCAAAGATGATTTCGATAGATAGATAGATAGATAGATAGATAGATAGATAGATAGATTTAAATTCTGAATTTTTAACTTGATATATCCCGTTTTAAAAAGCCAAACTTGGAAGGAAACCGAGGTAGTGAATCCAAGTATATTGTCTGCAACTCTGCCCAGACTCTTGTCCTCCTCAGCTCAAACCCAAACTGTCCTCTCAAGGAAGCCTTTCCTCACTTGAATGAACTCGACTTTATATGTGTCAGTGTCTGCTCTGATTTCCATTCAGTGTCGAGAAGACTTTATGTGAATATCCAGGAAAGAGAGGCTTCACTTCAGAATATTGAGTCCTCTTGATCCCAGAGGTACCTCTGCAGTACTGCTCACTGCACACTGCTCACTGCAGACATCTGGACTGATGGTTTATTCCACTGGAAATTCGTATCTATGCTGTGGAATTTTCTATGATGTTAAAACAAAGACCTCTATTTTTCAGTCTTAAGTGGAGACCTGTGAGAGCTCTGCTTTATATTTCTCCCTCTGCCTTGACAAACATTGAACTTTGATTGAAACCTGGTCGCCTGTGTCTCAGATGTATTTTGTAAAGATTGTCTGAGGTATGACACTGGTGACCCTAATCACTTGTGGACTTCTTAAGAATGTATCACTTTCATTGTTGAAATCAATGACGTTGTCCCTCTTTTACTGCAAGATATTGAGACTGAACAGAAAAGGCAGGGAGAGTATGACAAATAAGCAGGAGCCAAATGCTGGTTGCTTTTTAGTTGCAGTTTCAGGTTTCTGTACTACTACTAGGCCTTTCCAGCGTTTTTTCCCATGCTGCCCTCACGCTTTCTTCTCATAGAAGTTTAGTCATAAACGGCTGCTACATGCTATTGTGCCATTAGAGATGTCTCCATACCGCCTCAAGTAATTCCTGCCTAATGATCTGTTCCCTTACCTTTAATCAGTTTACTCATTCCTAGTTTTACATCATTTTTTTGTTACCACTTGCACCTTGTTATGAATTCAAAGCCTGTTGTCCCCATTTGACTTAAAGTGAAATAGTTTAGCTGCTATTTGAAGAAAATAACTTCATATCTGTAGAATGTATGTGCTTACTTGCTCTGTAATGTACAGAAGTGTGTTTCAAACGCCTTAATAGTTTTTCTTTGCTGTTGTAAATATCATGGGCAGTTTCACTGATCACAGTTGCGGTTTACATGTGTGAAGAGATTAGATTTGTCTGTGTGTGTGGACACAGCTTTAAGATGTGACATGTGATTGGTACAACCGACTGATTGAGTTCCAGTGCACTACTGTGTCAGGAATCTCTGTGATTATTATGGCAGGGGGTTTAGAGAAAAGAACATTTGTTTTTCAGTAACCTTATTCCATAAGTAATTGCATTTACTTGTTTATTTAAATGAGAATCTGTAAAAGTCTTGGTGCCATTCATTGCTTTGATGTTTCTCACAATGCAGCTGACATATTATAGAGAATGAATTTCAGAGAGAGAATTTCAATTGTGTGTGTGTGTAAAGTAAGGCTGTGTCACATTGACTGCCAACGTGGTTATGGTTAAATTATCAGCCAGGATCAAGGTTTTCGGTTGTGCACGCTGGGTTTTACTGGTGTGGTAAAGTTGCAAAAACTGCTGGGCAGAAGCCACGTCAAGATCTTCTGAACTGTTTTGTCAGTGTTTTCTTTCCCATTGCATTTATTCACTCTGTACATTATCAAACCCTTTCCAACATGCTACAATCATTGCTGTACTTTTCACTGGGTTAGCACACAGGTAACTACACTGGATCACGGTCATTGGAAAGTACAGTACTACTGAACCAGGTTGTCTGATAATGGCCCTCTCCTTGTGGTTTGATTTTGAAGCTTCTTCCACATCAAAGGCTGAAGTCAACATATACTGTTTGTATAAAAGCATTTGTCTAATTTGAGAACTATATTTGTATATTTTGTCCTGAAATAGAACCATGGCATTGTGGGGTTTGCTGATCAAATCCCTGTACAGCCTTCTGCTTATAAGTTTTTGTGTTCCTGTGCCTGCAATTAATAAACGTCAAGCTCTTTATCATTTACTGAATTTTATTTCAGTGTGCAAAATGTATGTAGTTATTTCGTAAGTTATATAAAAAAATAATACTACTACTTGTACTACTACCCCCCAGAATACTGGTTTATGGCAAGCCATTTTGTCACTACATGTATTTCCAATATTTAGTCAGTAATTTTGACAGTACTTATTGAAGCTCTGTGAGGCGGTACTGAGCTAAATGCTAATGTCAGCAAGCTAACACGTTCACAGTGACTATGCTAACATGTTCACCATCTTACTTTAGTGTGTTACCATGCTATTAATTGCTTATTAGCAAAAAACAAGAAGTGACAATTTATGACCTGATGATGGCGCTAGATTAAAGTCAGGGGATGCTAATGAGGACACAATATCCACTTACATTATGGAAAACATAAGTCTTAGAAGTTGCTATATTTAATAAGCAATTAAGTTACATTGTTATTCTTGTACAACTTCACACTCTTTTACAAAACATACACCCACCAGTTGTACAGTATATGACTGTATGACACGTCTGAGGAATGTGATCTCTGTAGGAGTCCCTGGCGCATTTGTAACAGCTTTTTTAACTTTACACAGTATTTACAGATCTCAACTGAACTAACAGCGCCTCAGCATGGCAGACAAGACATACATGTCGTCATAACTGCGAGTCTCTTTTAATAGATTTGATGCAGGGGGAAATTCCCAGCACCTGCTGGGCTGGAAAAGGGCCAAATGTTGAATCCAAGTTCCAACCTACTGGTTAACATCATGATAAAAAGGCCACTGGGCCAAACCTTCATATCTTCTGTTGTATTTACATACATAAACAGCTTATAGACATGTGCTATAAGAGATCACCCAAATACACGTTAACACCAATATCTCATAGACCACAGTAAAAATTCAACTATAATATTTTGTGGGCACCTTAGTATTTTAATTGAGCCATAATATGTCAATATGTTGAGTCAAAATGGTCATAGTAGGTCAATGTGACTATAATCAATTAGATTATTATACTGTGATGTCAGTAGTATCAGTAAGTCAGTTGATCTATAAAAAGTCAGTGGGCCAGGGGGAATTGTGATGATGTGTCTTTGGGGAAGTGGGTGAAGGTCCATGCACAAGTAAACATCCACTGCCAGCAACCCATCTATCTGTCAATATGGATTCTGCTAATGTTAAGTGCTGTATCACAACATCAGGTGAGAAATCTGAAATCTAATAAACTGTCTTGGCAATTCAAGCACCTTGTAGGAGTTCACAGTGGCAGAGATGAGAACATTTCCAATGCAACATGATCAACAGAGGCTTGAGATTTCCGACTCAGAGACCAGAGGAGGAGACAGGTGAACATTAAAAACCTGGAAGAACAGCCTGTTAACATGTGTTGTAATGATGCAACTTATTCATTTCTGAGAGTCGGCCATTCTTCCAGCTGACAGCCACAAACTCCATGTCATCCTCCTGTCGCTCCTGGGCTGTAAATATTGCTGCGGAAGATGTTTGTCGTGTAGATCATCTCTCTAATAATAATAACAATAATATTATTATGAGGCACCTACAGAATCTCTCAGGATAGAGTAGTGATGTAGTGTGGCGAGAACAGGGGGTGTAAAGAAGGAATGGCCAGATACTGTAGTCTGGCAGAAATATAGACAGAAAAAATACTCATCCACAGTTGACAAACAGTAAACACCATGTGAGTAATAAGTGAAATAGAGCTGGAAGTTGCAGCAGTAATAGAACAGAATAGCAGTAAGTATTGCTAAGTGCAGAAACTGCTTGCATATTTACCTCATAAAAGTTATTACACAATCAAAATACCCGCACAAACCAATACACTATACCAACACATTTCATAAGGCACATTAGCACAAGGACTTAGTTAAAGTGATAAAAAAGAACATCTTGGAAGTAAAACAGAAGATGGCAGATGGAGATGAATGGAGAAGATGAGATAAACATCTGTATGAAAGACGCCATACTGGTGCGGAGAATGGGGCGGCAGTACCGCCAAACAAAACCACATTCTGCAGCTTTAGGGCTCAATGTGCAACGCCCTAAGTAACAACCATCCGCTTCTTTTATACTGGAACTTCATTGCAGCTCCACTCAGGCTGCACCTGTGCAAGAACACGGACGAAACCATCTCTTCAACATTCTCAAAATGAGCAAACAATGGGGAAAAACTGTAACACAAAAACTGGAAGTACAGGTGTTGATGTAGTAACGGAATTCCTGGCTGACTGCACTGCTCAGTCAGTGGCTTTGGAGGCAGTGAGGGGTTCAGTCTCTGAAGGGTCTTCCTGAGGAAACACCACATAGCACACCTTCTGGCCCACGTATGTGACTCTTTCTGCGACACAAAAGACAACAGGAGGCGTAATTATAGGGACTGCAATTCAAATTCCTAACATATCTAAATATGTTTTAAAATTCCATAATGTACAGTGAGACGGACAAACTCACCGACTAGCCTGTAGACCCATTTAGGTTTGTCCTTCCACTGAACACCCACAAAGTATACAGGGACTCCAGTCAGCATGATGACCATTCCCAGGCCACATACCACTGGTTCAGAGTACAGACTGAAGCCCAGCAACACAGCCCAAAATATCATGTAGCTGATGGGGACCAACAAGTTTACCTGCACAGGACAGAAATAGACAAAATTCCATGCAATCCTGAGGATTTGTAATTTTGCCATCTTGCATTTATTGAGATAACACTTTTTTAAATACATTTGCAAAGACAAAATTATGATTAAATGTTTATTATTTTGACAAATGAAAACAGGGCATGTATTCTATACAGGTACAAACACACACACACACACACACACACACACACACACACACACCTCATGTAATAGACTTTTGTAAAACAAGGAGCTGCCAAAATATTATCCATGTCCATGTCAACCTTAAATGACAAACTACCTGCAAAGGCCCTTTCAGACAACGTTCTGCTCACCGCTGGGTTTGGCACTCAGCGAAAAAGGTGCCGCGGTGCAAGCCACTGAAAATATTAGTTTTCAAAAGGCAGCTGTGCCGTTGTCGCGTTGTGTTTGAAAGGGCCTTTAGTTACATCTGTGAATATGCCCATTAATTATTCTGTAGACAGCTCCACTTGTGCCATTATTACCAAGTCAGCAAAGTTACAACTGTCACTACTTGTTGAAGCAGGCTCTGCTCGCTAGTAGGGCAAGTGTAACATTTTCAAGCAATGCTTGATGTTTAATGTTTTTGGTCTGCCTAAGACAAAATTAACATTTACTGGCTACAGCTGCTACACCTGACAGTGATCTCATCTCCCAGACTCCCACCTTGCTAGCTTACTGCTAAAACAAGACACCAAATAATGTTAACCTCTGCAGTTGTTAATGTTTATCATTTTAAATGAAACAACTAGGTCACCTTACATTGTTTTCACATTTCCAGGCCTATTGCTCAGTTTGTCCTGCTGTTATCGTGTACTTTTTCGATTTATGATTAGAATACACAGATATTTGTAACATTTCCCAGTGACAGCTGAGAAGGTAAAAAGTTGATATTTAAGCAGTGGTTGAGAGTTTTGGCACAGGGGTCACTGGTTTAGTTAATCTGAAGCAAACTGCAGAGATATGATTTGATGGTTAATTGACATCCTGTTGTGTCTTCCACAAGGCCCTGTATGCAATACCCTAAGCTAAATGCTGTTATTGCAGCGGATCTGTGGTTCTCAGGTTTCTGTACCTTGATGGGTCTGGCCAGGTTGGGTCTCGTCTTGCGGAGGTACATGAGGCCGGCAATGGTTACCCCATAGGACAGATAGTTGATAAAGGACACATAGTTGATCAGGTTGTGTGTCTCTCCAATGCACAGGATGAATATGGTGGCAATGCACTGTGGGAGGTGAAGATAGGTTTAAAGGTCAAGTACATATTTCTAGTATTTTTGTGTGTATTGTGTTGGCTGCTAATCCCTCTCTATCTCCGTATTAAATTGAAAATTTAATATATTAAACTAATAATAATGCAAAATAGCAGTATTAATATTCAATAAAAATATGAAATGTGAAAATAATTTCACATGTGGCAACCACTTAAGTTGTATGTCCCCGTGAAGCTAGACAGGTTAAACAAAACTGAGTGCAGTACTCACGCAGAGCAGCAGGGCGGGGATTGGAGTGCAGTTCTTTAGGTGGATCATAGCCAGCAGATAGGGCAGGTGGCCCTCTCTGGCTCCCGAGAAACACAATCTACAGATAGACAGATACATACTCGTATGCATGTATGCATGCTTTAGTGTACAGCAAAGCAAAGTGTGTGTGTGTTCTACCTGGAGGAGGTGAACAGATATCCATTGATTCCTCCGAAAGTGGACAGTGCTACAGAGATTGGCATCACCCAGGAAAACATCCCCAGCAGCTTTTCCCCGAATGTCTGGAATAACACAACATCTGATGGATGACATTGTCTTTTACTGAAAGGGAAACTGGAGGTTTTTAGTCTCTTTAGGCGATTTTTGACTAAAACAAATTATAATTCTAATAATAATAATAATACACAGCATTATCCTTTACTATCCCAGGACTACTTTTCTTTAGAGGACTTAAAATTCAAGCAGTCACAAACTGAACTCATGACTATTTACTAAACGTTAAGAAGTAAAATTTAATTAACTTTAATCTTATTGACCAATTTGTTAATTGGTTGGTTGAGGTCTGTCTCATACAAGATTTGCTGCTTCACTAGACTTATAGTCTTAGACAGTACGTTTCCAGACAACTGAGACTGTTAAATATTTATAAACATGCATATAAACTGCTCTAAGCTCCTGTATGAAATATGAAAAATCTATTCGTGGAGCTGGAGAGCTGCTTACCACTGCCACAGCGTTGGAGGCCAGCAGCTCCTCAGGTGTCATGGATGAGAAGTAGGCAATGTTGGTCATAGTGTAGACAAGGGTCACCAGTGGTATGGAAATGTAGATGGCACGGGGCAAGTTCCTGATAAAAATAATGATATATGAAGTAATAGTGATAATTCAGGTGTTTGTGTTCACGTATTGCAAAACATGTGTTTTCAGTTGTGAACTAAGTGACTGAGCTGTACAGCATTACATTAAGTATGATATTAAATACTATCTGTGCATGTCATACTTGCGTGGCTCAACGACCTCCTCAGTGACATAGTTGAGGAAATTCCAGCCACTATAGGCAAAAGAGGCCTGAAGGAAGGCCAGCGCTATCTGTCCCACCGAGGGGTCCTGACTGAATTCAAAGGCCACACTGGGCCGCAGGGCATCATAGTGACCTGGAGAAGGTCAGAGGAAGGGATGTGTGAATACAACAGTGAATAAGTCTAATAATTACCTATACAAGATCACCTATAAAATGTATCTTTTAATTGTTTGGGGAAGGGGGTTTGGGGTGCATATTTTCAATCTAAATGTTGAAATTATCATAGTTTTTTGATTTACTGTTTCCTAATGAAGATAAAATACATGATCTAACTGTAGAAATTACTGTCATATTGAGGATTTCACCAGAAAGTGGATTTACCTCTAAAGATTTGGACGAGTCCGACCACTATAATTAGTGCCAAAGCGAGGAGTTTTCCTACAGTGAAAACATCCTGGATCCTTGTCGCCCAGCGCACACTGGAGCAGTTCACCCAGGTCAGGAATACTGTGTAGGAAAAAAACAAACACACTCACACTGATACACTTAAAATCATTGCATCATGTTTCTGATAGGTCTGGCCTTAAAATGCAGGGGTCTTTATAACAAATTTGCATTGCATACACTAAATTAATAACCTTCACTAAGGCGAAGTAATATGGCCAAAAATGTTATCACAATAAAAAAATTCCATATTATTGGATATCGATAATTAAATAATTTTGATAATTAAAAGTCAAATCAATATTTCTTTCCAGTTTAGAGGCATATATTTGAAAGTGAAAGTTGAAGAAACCAGATGGTTAATTTTGGTTTTAAACTATTGTTAAAATATTCGTAATATTAAGTAAATACACTTTTATGAAATAAAATCTTAACCTTCATGGAAAAGCAGCACATGTATTCATCAGCTGAATGCATGTTTTTTAGGTGAAGTTAGTTAGATGAGGTCAGTTGCTTTGACTAGAGGACTATTTTAGAGAAGTGCTAGCTTCTCTAGCCGTAACTAGTTAGACCAGCTACATTCCAACAAACATGTTTTAGCTTTTCTTTAAATATATTGGATATCATCATATTGTAACATTTTAGACTATGTAGGACATTCAGGCAGACTATTCAAACATTTAAAAATGGTGACATATGCACATAAATAATACGTGAGTAGAAAGGGTTAGATTCTTTTGTGTCCTCATTGTCTCCAATATACTGGATTGGTTTCAGCACTTAAACTGACCTTATTAAGTGTCAGTCAGAGTCAAGCAGAGTGAATTGTTTCCTAGTCCTCTCCTTAAAAGGAATGTTGGTATGTGGATGTCCATTGCGTCTGTCTTATAATTAAGTGATTTACAGAGAGGGACACAGATTACTGCTACTACTACTATCAGATCAGTACAATGTGTCAATATACTGAATTCCATAGCAAACTAGAATGGCAGTCGGAGAGTGCACACATCCGCTAAGGCCAATAGTCCAGTCTTCTATGACATGCAAATCTGCAAGTGCGAAAACTATATCCAAAACAAGAATTACAATATTGCAAAAATATGGCTGTGCACTGTTACAACCTTTTGTAATGTGACAAATAACCTTATTCCTTCCATACCTCCTGCATTTGTTTCTAGTGATGTTTGAGGTGCATTTTATGTTTTGTTGTATGTTTAGACGTGGCATACCATTCACTTTATTATGATATATATTCAGTTCATGTTGCCATAGACACCGGTGTTACAATTGACCTATGTTACAGTGCTACTGAAAGTGAAAAATAATTTGTGTGTTTGTGTTGTGATTCGGAACTGCTCCAAAATGTTATGGGTTCTTCCTTGTACTATACTACACCCTTCCACTAAGTTTCATGAAAATCGGGCCAGCAGTTTCTCCGCAATTCTGCTGACAGACAAACAAACAGCACCAAAAATATAACCATCTTGGTGGAGGTAAACTGGCGGTTTTGATACAACAAGGCCCCAGAAAGCCACCTGCTAATAAATGGAAAGATACATGTATATGTGTAACATAGTTGAAAAGTTTCAGGTTAAAGCCTACTAAATGAGACTACTATGCAACCTGCTGTTATGAAGTCGTACCTGCAGTGAACGCTAGTAATGACGAAGGATTATGGGTAATCCTCAGTGCTGTTTGTCCACATGAGATAACGATTCTACACTTTTGTCTGTAGTCATAAATGCAGGCATGTTTTAATAATACAGGTACTATTATTACAGTTACTAATCCAAGTAACGCTGCATTACTGCGTTACTGAACGCACCATCCTGATGTGATTGCGCGACCGTGCGGCAGGTCATTGACAGCGATCATATCTTGTTCAGGTCAGCTGTTTGCCAAAAAACTAAAGGAAGAATAGAGAAAGAGGGAGAGAGGCCTTCTTTCCACATATGTAAGTATCACCATTATTGTGTCACAGTCTAAGATGCAAAGAACATTGTCGTCCATTGTAAACTGGTTAAAGTAATACAGTAACATAACGAGTAACGTAACTGGTTTATCACCCAGTAGTAAGTCATTTGAGATTGACTACCAGCTATGTACAGCGTGCTAACCTGTGCAGCTGTATTCTATTGTTAACATTAGAGCCCGCCCGATATATTGGCCGCCCGATATTATAGGCCGATATGACCTAATTGCATTTAATCAGCATACGGCCGTTTATAACAGCAGATATATGACTATTAAAAAAGAAACCTAGAGTCAGATCCTTCACTCATGTCATGGGTGTTGCATAGTTTGCCCACCAGAGAGCGACCAGCTGCAGCTCCCCTGTTAACTACACTGCCTCACCACAAAAACCACAGAAGAAAACAATAAGCTGACCGGAGTTTACCGGAGCTTGAGCGAGTTAATCAAGTTAATAACATGACTTTAATAATTTTAATAAAAACAGACCCAGTCACTTCTCCTCTCCTGAAAACATTCAAGACTTGCTAACCCTCCCGTTTTTCACATCTCCCAGCAGCTCACAGCAGTTTAGTGTTACGGTAGTTGGGTGTTGAAAGCTATGCTGCTGGACAGACGTGACATTTATTTCAAACAGTGTGGCAGTTCTAACGAACGGTCCACATTTGTCCCTAGTTCATCACTTCTAAATATTCTCTAACGTTACAGCAGGTAACGCTGCCCGTTGCTAAATTAGCCACAAAGCTATCAGTGGAGGAGCGCTAACCTTAATGAGCCGTTAAACTATAGTTTCTGACGTATTCTAAATATATCTGCGAGCCGTCTGACTGCAGTTAGTTGGCGTGTCTGAAATGATTAAACCAGAGCGGACAGGTAAATAAACGTGAGCTGAACAAGAAAATAACACGGCTTCCTGTAGCTCCTCTTTTTATGACGTTGTAGATGTGAAACGCTGTAGTCAGAGCCGTAACGTTACGGCTCTGGTTGTAGTAATAACGTTAGTTAAATGAAATCTCAAAGTTGCAGGTCCTCGTTGTAGACATTCCTGTAGTATTAGATGCATTCAACAGCATCTCACTGTATCCTAGACGGCATGATTTATACCGATGGTGGTTCAATGGTTTCACGTGGCTTTGGAGTGCTGGTAAAGGGATGAATTAGATGTGAATGTGCTACATTGAAATTATGGTAGATTATGTGTAAAGTGAAATACACATGCTTATTCTCTCTCACTCTCTCTGTTTACAGATGGCTGAAAAAGTTGCACCTTCCAGAAGCAAATATTTATTGATGTGCAGTTGTTTACATTTTCACTTTTTGAGACTGTAATCGATTTTATTAATATAATCCATTTAGGAAAAGGTTTTATAGCCCACATACATACCTGTTTCAATAATCGGCCTGTTCTAAGTGTAGTTTATACAATAAAGGGGTCTACTGTTTTTCACTTTAATATCGGCATCGGCCCCCAAAAACCCATTTCGGTCAGGCTCTAGTTAACATAGCTATAACTTATTTGAAGGTGGGTCTCTGACATTGACAGCATTGTGTTAAGAACATAGATAGACTAACTTCTCAGAGTTAACTTGAATGCATTAGTTTGTCTATGTGTTTGTGAGAAAGATAGGGAGCCAGCAAGCAGAGGTACTGAGTCAATCAATGCTCTGCGCGCAGCTCCACAATGAATTATGATTTTACTCATATTAAATAGTATACAGTATGTGGCGGTCGGTGTTGATATTGTGGCGCGCCGTGTCGCCACAAATAAGTAAATGAAGGGGAATCATGCAGTGTGGTGCAGGTTTTAGAGACTGTTTTTATGTCATCTTAGTTCTGATTGTGAGTTAATTAAAATCGCCTTAATATTGGCGCATGAAAAACCAATCGCTGATCATCCCTTCAGTTGTCAATAGCCGATCCAATCGGCACAAGACTATTATACTTCACAATCAAAGCTTCATTATCCTGCGCTGACGGTAATGAAAGCAAATGTGGAGATGTGACGAATGAAGCACAAATTCCACACATTGTATCGGGTTTTTAATTATGCCAAAATTCAATCTCAATGTACAGGTATCATAGTTGACAGTATACATTTGACTTTAAAAAACACATATACGTTGTCACTACACGATGAAACATACTGTACATACTGTGCCATTTCACACGAGATACATATATTCTGCTGCCACTTTTAAGGTCTGTACATTTTGTCACTGACACATTCCTCTGTAAAATATATTTCCTGACAAAACAGACAGAAGTCTGTGGAAATGAATATTTCCCACTTCCTGTTTCCTACTTGCATAGAGAGAGAGGGAGGGAGAGTGTGTGTGTGTGTGTGTGTGTGTGTGTGTTTGTGTGTCCCTGCTCCCCACACTGCTCCCTAAGCCACTGAGACCTTCACACTGACCCTCAGTTTTGTGTGCTTGCGAGTGCCACCATAACAAGGGCTGGCCAAATTCCAAGTGAGCCAATCCGAACAAGTGCAAGTGGCTCTCCAGTTGCCCTCAAACTCAAGTGCGGGCTCACAAGTGAGAGGTTAACCCAGTAGGAAGTGTGAGTCGAGCTACCAGAACAGAGAAAGAAAGACAGAGAAAAGTTTTTCAAGCCTTTTGTGTAGTTGTACTTTTCCTGTACATGTCATACCACACATTTGAGTCTGACAAACAATGTAAAATAGCCAAATCTCAATTCTCATGTGAAATAGATTATTATGTAACTATAGCATAGTGTGCACAGCATTAATGTTTGGTGTCTAGGTTCGGACAATACTTACTTCCACCCCTAGAGGGCAGCTAGACTAAGAGCCTATAGATGGATGCTGACTGAGGCATGCAGCAAGAGAATGAGCAGAGCACTGACAGCTTAAACACACCGCCATGATTTCAAGGGTGTGTTTGATACGTGATGCAGTGAAAGAAATATGCCATGAGTTGGGCTGGCTGGACTGGCTTGCAGCTTTCGCTTCCTATATGCTGTATAAGGTACTGTGTGCTGTGTGACTCATCACATAAATGTAATGGCATTACATTACATGAAGGGTACGGCATGTATAAGGTTAAATAAACAATGAAAGATGTTAAATGCAT